TTGGGGGAGAAAAGGGGAACCAATTACAATAATCTCCATAGAACCCCCTCCCTGGGGGATGGACAACAGAAAAGTGGGTGAAGGGAGACATTATCAAGGGTTCATGAAGGAGGAAGGGTGGGAAAGGTAGGGGGGAAAAAGAGGAGCTGATACCAAGGGCTCAAGTAGAAAGCAATGTTTTGAGGATGATATGGCAACAAATGTACAAATGTGCTTGACACAATGAATATATGTATTGATTGTGATAAGAGCTGTACGAGCCCCCAATAAAATGATTTTTTTTTTTAAAAAGAAAGAAAAGTGACAGACGGGGAATGAAGACACAGAATATATTAAATCCTAATTCAAAAGCACTTCTACCCTGTCACATAGTCACTATGAGTCTAAATCTACCCCATGGCAGTGAGGTTTTGAGGCACATGTTAATGAATGAACCCTTATGTAAAAGGATTATAATACATATGAAATTCAATTCCATTTTTCATTGTCTATACCTAACTTTAGTTTTATATTTTATGTATTTACCTATTTTTGACATGGGTTTAAAGTTGATGAGTTGATGTAATTTTTTTAACAGTTTTATGGGCACTTCATCTACATTTCATTCAATTCAATGGTTCAATTATGATGTTTTACAAACATCTGCTCATTATGTTTTCTAGCCATATGGATGCTTTGTCAGAGTTTAACAAAAATAAATAAAAGAAACAGGGCAACCAACTTCTTTCTCTGGATAGAAAGTACTTAAGCACCCAAACCCCAGTCATGCACCCTATCGGGCAGGAGAGAACTGCCCTTGTGGTTTCCTAAGACTGCAACTCTTCACAGGAGCAGGAAGCGGCCTCTGCATCCCGGAGCAGCTGGTGGTTTCGAACTGCTGACCCAGCAAAGACCAGCCCCAAACGTGCACACTACCCATCAAAGTTCCTCACTTTAGGAACCTCACTCACCTCCCGGCGGCATCTATGATTGACGTGCGGGGCGGCTCAGGCGCAGACGCCACCGACTGGTCTGAGGCGGGACGAGTCGCAGTTAAAGACAGTGTTTGCAGCCAATCACAGATCAGCTTCCGGAGCTGCTTCCTGGAACAGGAGACCGGAAGTGGGGTTTCGGTCGCGGCGGTGAAGGCGTCTGCTAGTGTAAGCCCAGCGCCGAGGTAAGTGGGCGGCTGTGGTTTGGGGCGCCGTCCTGCTTGCGTTGCGCCGTGCGGACCCCGCGGTTCCGGAGCGCTGTGTGCGGACGGGGGTCGGCGTGCGGAGCTCGCCTTCCGAGGGGCTCAGCCGCCCCCCGCTCGCGCTCGCTGCCTTCGGTGAGCGTTACCCTGGAGCCGGGAGTGGACCCGCGGCCGCGGGATCCGGCTGCACGGCCGCGCGGGCGTCCTCCGGGAGGGGACCCCGAGCCGCTCCGAGGTTGGGATCCGGCACCCACTCTTTTCAGGGGTGTAGCCTTGGGCGAGTCGTTTCCCCTGCTCTCCAGGGTGAGATGGAAAGAGCCACCCTGGCCCTCGCGGCTCCTCGGGGCAGGGGTGAGACCCGCTGAGCCGTGGGGTCCGAGAGCGGTGGAGCTCCGGCTTAATCCCCAGCGGACCTAGAGATTTTGGAAACCCCATTCCGGTGGCCTCGCGCATGAGCAACTTCCTTGAAATCCCTTTAAAATTTTTATTTCTATAAAAAGCCCCTGGAACGGAACGAACACGCGTGGCAGGGTTCGACTAAAATAAATTTCAAATAATCACCTTCGCAAAACTAATATAATGGTCTCTGTGGTACAATTAAAGTCTATCAGACCCTACGGAGGAATTGTGAGGTTGTAAATCTGTGTGGGAGCTGGGCTTGAACCATCCACCATGAGGTTTAGCAGTTCAACGCGTTGGGGCAGGAGAGCGAGGCCTCAGGAACAGAAAGGACCTGGGCTAAGAAACCTTGCTCCCCGTTTCCTAAGTGTCTGATGTGGAGCAAGTACAGGACTCCTAACTTGGGCTGTCCAAGATTTTATTTCAAAGTACTTGACCGATAGTAATTCCCTAGTCTGTAATACTTATGCTATAGTTATAAAGAGACGTTTTTATTTTGGGGATACAAAGCGAACTCTATTAAGGTAATGAGTGACCAATAGTCCAAATGAAGGAAAAAAACTAACATTTGGGATATCAGGAAGAATATGAATTCCAAATTTATGTGGAAAAGTTTCAAAAGAGTGGTTGTATTAGCTACTAATATAAGTGTGGTGTAAATGAAACAATATTTGCAACCCCTAAACCAATTGCCCAAACCAGTATGAGTCGATTTCTGTTCCTTACCCTGTAGGACAGGGGAGCTCTTGAGGATTTGCAAATCTGGAAATCTTTAAGTAGACAGTTAATTTTTTTCAACAGTTATATTGCCACTTCATATATCTTACAATTCAATAGTTCACTTCTATCAGGAAGAGTTGTACAATCATTACCACAATCAATTTTAGGACATTGTCGACATCCTTGTAATCCTGGTTAGTTGTGTGATTACTTTTTTTCAATGGTGTTAAAAATATACCTCCAAAACTTTCTCCCTTTTAACAACTTCTACATGTATAATTCAGTGCCTTCGATTATACTTTTTGTGTTACACAATTACTATTGTTAGCCCTCTCCAAATTGTTTCACCACCATTAAAATAAACTAATGGCCACTAAGCAAAAACTCCAACTCCTTCACCCATGGTAACCATAGGTCAAGTTAGGTTTCTTTTTTAAAGTAGTTTTCTTGATATAAAATTCACTTATACACTTCCATAGTTAAATCACTTTTAATAAGTTGTATATACATCATCACAATCAGTTCTAATGCTCCCCTCTCCCTTCCTCCCTCCCTCCCATATTTAATTGATTGCTCTCCAGTTTCCCTCATGGTCCCTACTCTACCCCATTCCTGATAAACCATTGCATTAGTTATTGGCTCTAGACATCAGTTCCTTCTGTGATTCATAAACTGAAACCTAACAAACAATAAAAACAAGACAAAAACAGTAATAATATAAAGATAAAAACAAAGAGCAAGAAAGAAAAACACCCAATAATATTTTTAAAGCTAGAGAAGTTTTTGTCATGGAACAAGCAGAAAGTATTTGAACCTAGAGCAAGTTCAGGTTTGGTCAAGAGGAGGGAAGTCAGCTGACCAAGTATCGTATTATACCATGGTCCAGTCCACCATAATCAAGTTTACAATGTTTTCTGTCTGATAATAATGCTGCTCAAGTCCCTGGCCTGTGGCTAGAGGGCATCTGCCAGAGACTTAATTTGACTAGATGCAGATGGATTTGGGGTTCTCAATGCCCTCTATAGCCTTCTATAAATTGGGTGTTCACAATTTAAGCTCTGATACTTTTGCCTTCATTTTATTTGGATTTTGTTACCATCATCTTTGGATCACATAGGTTGGTGTGCTCCTGTGTGGAGTTAGTTGACGCCTCATGGCTGCTTGTTTGAATACAAGCCTTTAAGACCCCAGACACTATTGTAGTTGATAGCCATTTTTCACTGCACTTTGCTGTTGCACCCTTATCTTCAGTGCTCTCTTTGAGAAGGCAAGTATCCAGCAGGGCTATGTTATAAGAACTAATTGTTCTTGGATTGGGGCTAGAATTCCATGGGATCCCACAATCCATCGACCTGTCTCCGGTTCTGGACAATGCTGGTTTACTTTGGCAGTCATATTATGACAAAAAACCAAAACCAACAAGAACAACAAAACAAACAACAAAAAAGGAGAAAAAAGAAGAAAGTTGTCAATCATTCCCCTAGAGCAGCAGTTCTCAACCTGTGGGTCGTGACCCCTTTGGGGGGGTGTTGAACGACCCTTTCACAGAGGTCGCCCAATTCATAACAATAGCAAAATTACAGTTATAAAGTAGCAACGAAAATAATTTTATGGTTTGGGGGTCACCATAACATGAACTGTATTAAAGAGTTGCAGCATTAGGAAGGTTGAGAACCACTGCTTAGAGTATAAGGCGATTGCATTGATGACATCAGTAATTTACCCAATGGCACAGAATTTAAGGTACTGTTGATTTGAGGAGTTTATGTGAGTATAGTCCAACTGTGAGCAGCAGTCCATGAGTTGTTGCTTTGTACTGATTGATGTCCTAATTGAGCTCTGTTTACATTAAGCATGGGGGTTGGTGCTAGAGAGAAAGTTCCTGTATCATTTCTTACAAGGGTAGACCCTTGCCTCATTAAAACCTGTCATATTAGTAGAAGGTGAGCATTGAGGTATAAATATATGGTAGTTCTGGGTCCGGTTCTTTTTGGACACCCATTAAGCCAGGGGTCCCACCCATGGTCCATCGAGCACCATTTCCACAGCTTTGGGGTAGCTATCCTTTACTTCCTTTCTCAATCAGTGTATTTTGGTTAAGTCCAAGGGTACATGTAGTTTTGAGGTAGGGCCCAGTTCATTCAGTCAGGATTCCATGTTGAGTCCTCTGAATCTTGGAGGATACCATGTTCCCTGTAAGGCCAGCGTCTGAGGTCATCATAGTGTTTAGTCCATGGCGTGGTTCACTGAGGGTTGGGTAAAAGCATATTCAAAGTGTCTACTCATGATCATAGAACCTAGTTTATTCTCCCCTGACTTCCCTACAATTCTAGTTTGGTATCTTCCTAGTGTGAGGTTGCTCCTCCCTATTTACCCACGGTACCCACCAACAAATATCAGTGCCTCCTCTGAAATGTAGATGCTCCCCTTTCCTGGCCTTGGCTTGATTTTGGGGTAAGGTTCTCCTCATTCTTGTGGAAGACTTGTTGATTTGACTTGTCACAGCCTTGTCTCAATGTAGAGCATCAAGTGGATGGTCTCCACTTTCTCCCTTCATGAAGGAGTAACTCCAGGCAATGGGAAGGACTCCTCTTTCGAAGTGATTCTTAAGAAGTGCACATAATGGGGGGAGAGGGTGATTATGGTTCTTGGCTGGTCAGCAGACATTCTACCCCTCTGTTTTTGAATTGGTCTCTACGTTTTGTTTCATTGGTGTTTCTTTTTTTTAATCAGCATACTATTATTTAATAATCTTTTTTTAATCGTTTTATTAGGGGCTCATACGACTCTTATCACAATCCATACATACATCACTTGTGTAAAGCACATTTGTATATTCATTGCCCTCATCATTCTCAAAACATTTGCTCTCCACTTAAGCCCCAGCATCAGGTCCTCATTTTCCCCCCTCTCACCCCCCTCCTTCATGAGCCCTTGATAATTTATAAATTATTATCTTGTCATATCTTGCCCTGTCTGACATCTCCCTTCACCCACTTTTCTGTTGTCCGTCCCCCAAGGAGGAGGTCACATGTAGATCATTGTCATCGGTTCCCTCTTTCCAACCCACTCTCCCTCCAACCCTCCCAGTATCACCACTCACACCACTGGTCCTGAAGGGATCATCCACCCTGATAGTTGGTGTTTCTCCTTAACAGCCTCATCTTTTTTTTCCCCCGCAGAGTGACTGGTGGGTTTGAACTGCTGACCTTGCAGTTAGCAGCACAACTTGTAACCCACTATGCCACCAGGGCTCCCTATGTGCAAAGGCTGTGGATACAATTAGAATTATGATAATCACAACCCTTTTCCTCATGGTGTTTGCAGTCTGAAGGGAGAAACAAAGGATATTGGCAAGGAGAATAAAAGAAGAATTATCTTTTGATTGCACATTACCTGAAGAGGTGATAATTTAAGAGAGGTTTACAAACTTACTTGGCTTCTGTTTTTCGGGGTGGGGGGAATTAAACTCAACCCCCCTCCCCCAACATATAAGTGTAGGCATCTGCTTTTGCAGCCCCCTGGATCATTCCAAGGAGCTCTGGTGGCGTTATGGTTACACATTGGGCTATTAACTATAAGATCGGCCGCACAAAACTACTAGCCCTGCTCCGCTGGAGAAAGATGAGGTTTCTACACCTGCAAAGAGCTACAGTCTTGGAGACCAACAAGGACAGTTCGACCTTGCCTTGTAGGGTTGCTTTGATTAAGAATTGACTTGAAGGTAGTGAGTTTGTTTGGATGGTTCCAACGCCTTCCAGGGGACAGTATCACCCACTTTGGGAAAGATGGATTTATGCTAATATTTGCAGAGAACCCCATGCTAGGAAAACACAGAAAAATATTCCAAGCAGAATGAGCAGCATGGGCCAAAGACATGGTTGAGGAATTATGAGAGAATGTTAAACTGAAAGTATTGCTAGCTTACAATAATAATAGACAAGAGTATGCTGGTTAACTGCATAGAACAGTGAAAGCAGAAATATACTGGGGGTAGTATTATGTTCTGCGTAAGAAAGAATGGTGGCTTGACCAGAATTGAGTTTGCGGTATGGAAACCTGAGGAGCAACTGAAGGGGAATGGGAACTGGGCGGGCAGGAACTATAGGTGTTTGCTATGATCCTCAATGCTCTTTTTCAAGCACCCCTCACTACTTGCAAAGGAGCCCTGGTGGCAGTGATTAAACACTTGACTGCTAGCCAAGAGTTTTGCACTTTGACCAGCTGCCCCATGGGCAACAGATGGAGCAGACTACATGCAGCCTTGGAAACCTACGAACTGAACTAGTTGGCAATGTAAGCTCACTCAGTACCAGTACCATTACAGAAGAAATACCTAGCAATCTGCTATAAAAGTTATAGCCAAAAAACCCTATAGAGCAACGTCCAGGCACCCTGAGTCAGAATCAGTGGCAGTGAAGTTTTCTCTAGTCCTGTTAAGAATGATGTCCCTTTGACTCAGCATCATTCTCTGCACCACTGTGACACGGGGCTGCTCCACAGTTTGGTTGCTACTGGACCACTCTGATGTTGGAGGAGTGTTCTGTCTTTAAACCATTAAAAAATCAATCCAAAAGAGTAATTGGAATCTTCTTGTTTTATGATATAGGCCAGGTGGTATAGTGGTTATGCATTGAGCCGCTGCCTTCCAGGTCAGCAGTTTGAAACTACCAGCTGCTCCATGGGAGAAAGATGGAGATTTTCTACTCCTGTAAAGAGTTACCATCTCGGGTACTCACAGGGGCACCCTGTCCTGTACGGTCACTGTAAGTCCACACTGACTGGATAGCAGTGAAAAAAGAAAATGAGAGACTTAAAATGCATAAGAAGAAATTGTATAGCCATAGAAGATATACTTGGATTTGAAATTTCTATAATAGCTATGGAAAAGCTGCTGAGTCCATACAAATTCATAGAATACAAGTGTATAGATTAAATTATTTCATTCAAGAAACTCATGCTACAAGGTATATGAATGTGAGCAATAATTTTGTCAAAGTGCTTATTAGAATTAAATGTTTGCTTCTGAAAACCAACCAATGATATAAAATGACAGTTATTTAAACATGAGATGGGAGACAGCGTGTATTGTTTGCCTGTGAAGAAGAGTAGAAGAGTGGGATGTAACTGCTGAGAGATGTGGAATCAGGAATTTTTAATAGGTGGGTACTGTAACGTTTTCCATGCTAATGAAAGTTTTTCTAATAGAGAAGGAAAAAATACTTGAATGATTGAGGATATGATGCCTAACTAGAAAAGGCTGGCAACCTTTCCTAGTTATAAGAACATTCGATTTAGGAACTGTGGGGTTCTTACATTGGGCCCCCGCTTCCAGAGGAAAATACTCACCTCTCATCACTCAACGTGACAGTGCTTGTTTTGTATTTGGCCTCTAAATCTTTGATTGGTTTCCCTAGGTGCCTGATCTTCCACCATGGGTGAACCACAGCAAGTCAGTGCTCTTCCACCCCCTCCGATGCAATACATTAAGGAATATACAGATGAAAATATTCAGGAAGGCCTCGCTCCCAAGCCACCACCTCCAATAAAAGATAGTTATATGATGTTTGGCAATCAGTTCCAATGTGATGATCTTATCATTCGCCCTTTGGAAAGTCAGGGCATTGAACGGCTTCATCCTATGCAGTTTGATCATAAGAAAGAACTGAGGAAACTCAATATGTCTATCCTTATTAATTTCTTAGACCTCTTAGATATCTTGATAAGGAGTCCTGGGAGTATAAAACGAGAAGAGAAGCTAGAAGATCTTAAGCTGCTTTTTGTCCATGTGCATCATCTTATAAATGAGTACCGGCCCCACCAAGCAAGAGAGACATTGAGGGTCATGATGGAGGTACAGAAGCGTCAGCGTCTTGAAACGGCTGAGAGGTTTCAGAAGCACTTGGAGAGAGTCATTGAGATGATTCAGAATTGCTTGGCTTCTTTACCTGATGATCTGCCACATTCAGAAGCAGGAGTCAGAGTAAAAGCAGAACCCATGGATGCTGACGACGGCAGCAATTGCACTGGACAGAATGAACAACAGAGGGAAACCTCGAGTCATAGGAGAGATCAGATTATAGAGAAGGACGCTGCCTTATGTATTTTAATTGATGAAATGAATGAGAGACCGTGAAGGATATGTCTTTTTATTTTTTGGTCCTTATCCTTTCAGTAAACAGCATTATATTTTAGTTTATTTGCTAGTGGACAGTCTTAAAAGAGGTATAACTACAAGTCATGTAGTTATATCAAAAATTGTATCTTGACTCCAATTTTGTCAAGTATGAAATGTTACTGGCAGTAATTTCAGCAAGCTTACATTAAGTACCCTTACATTAAGAGCCATCACCTTAAAAAGCAAAATGTTTGCTGTTATTGTGTGAGACATTCATATTTTTGGAGCTCCAATAAAACAAGCTATCATCCTTGAAAAGTAGATTTATTATTTGCTTTAAGTGTGATCCGGGTTTTAAGATGTATAAATGTGAAATTATGAAATGTTTATACTTGTTTCACTTAAAACTTTGCCTAACATCTGTAAGCGGTGATATAGCTTGTTAAATGGGTGGAACATGGTAGAGTTAATAACAAGTCTATTTTTCCTCATGACTACTACAAACACAACCTCAGCCTTTCTCCCGTGCTGAGGGGAGATTGGGTGGGCCATAAGCGTGCAACTTTTAGCTCATATACTCACTTTACTAAATTGAGATGTCTATGTAATTGGCTACATATTTCCTTTACAGTTAAGTTTCGACTTGCTTAAGACTGTAATGGGAAAAGGGTTTGGTGGCCAAGATGACTAGGTGATCACCGACGGTTCTCGCTATACCAGGGTTCTTTTGCTAAGATACAGGGGTGCAGCCCAGGACTACCTTCACTTAGCCCCCTGCATTAAGCTCTGGAATGTGCAGGTCTGCCTCATACAAATTACTTGTTTGGTCTATCTGCTGGGTGGGTGGCCACACCAAGGATAATTTTAGGAGTCCTGGGAGGTGGCAAAGATTCAGTGCTTTTGGATCTTTGCATGACTGAGGACTGGGACCTGTCTTTGTTAATTGCCACCCATTTCCTCTAGCTGATTAGACTTTATGTGAGCAAGAAAGCTTGTTTTGAGCACAGATTTTTTTATTTCACCAGGTCTTGGAGAGTTTGCTTTGTATTGGAGGATTTCTGCCTCCTTTTCTTACAGGCTACTGGTTCTCAGTGTTGAACTGACAGCATTAACAACACGTGGGGACTGGTTAGAGATAAACTTAGTACAATGACTTACATGCATTCTGATACCTCACATGTTAGACTTGTTTCTGGGTATATTTGACCTGCTGATTACAAAAACACCAGTTCTCCCTATCAACTCTAATTTTTGAGATACAGAACATACCACATTCCACTCTTCACTCTGCTTGCTCATAGAAAATCAATGCAGTGTTTGCTAGCCTGAGACAGAAGTAGTGCACACTGACTTTATTTAAAGTAGTTTGTGTTGTACTAAATAGGTCAACTTTTACTTCACCTTGTGTCTGATCCTAAGAGAGATTTGAAAGTTCAAATTACATGAACATGGAATTATCCCCCCAAGTATCACTTCAGCTCAGTTGGGAAGTAAATAGCTGGCAGTTCCAGTTATCCAGGAAGAGTTATTATATAAACAATAAGGGGCACTGATAAGTAGTGGGCTATGTGTTTGCTAACCACAAGGTCAGCTGTTCGAGCCCACAAGCCACTCTAGGAAAAATAGACTTTGTTCCCATAAAGATTCATGGCTTCAGAAACTGGAGAAATTCTATTAGGACCCCTTTGAATCTATTGGTTGACTGGTAGTGAGTGTAGTACAGTAAGTAGAAGTTCACATATTCTGAAACCCAAAATGGATTGGTTAGAATTCCAAGTCCTTTATTAAAATGTTCCAATCTTGTTATAAAATGACACAACTTCACCTTTGTACAGAGACTCTTAAAATATTTTTCTTAAGCTTGGAGTCACCCTTACCTCTGAAAGGTTTAACGTGAATTATCCGTTGACTTCTGTATGTTAAAATGTGTTTGGAATGTTTCTAGTTTGAAGAAGAAAACTTCAGATTGTTGAAAAATACATGAAAACTATGAAATCTTTCAACTCCTTATCTTGTCCTCACACCTTGCATATATGTGTCTTTTCAATGTCCCGTTTTATTTTCTTAAGCTGTGTGGCTGCAGTATTCAATTTGTAGTCTCTATGTTGCACAGCCTCTCATACCAAAACGAAAACCCGCTGCCATTTAATCGATTTAGGGATTCATAATGACCCTGTGCTACAGAGAACTGCCTCTGGATTTCCTAACTTTTAAATCTTTTAAACCCTGGAGAGTGTCTGGTGGATTTGAACCACTGACCTTAGTATTGACCAACGAGCCACTACGGGTCCGTATATGCTTCCTTAGAAGTCCTGTACTGGCCAATTTTTCAAGTATTAACTTTTTCTTTTTAAAATCATTTTCTTGTGGCCTCATACAACTCGTCACAATCCACACATCCATCCATTGTGTCAAGCACATTGGTAACATTTGTTGTCCTTATCATTTTCAAAATATTTACTTTCTACCTGAGCCCTTGGTATCAGCTCCTCATTTTTTCCCCTCTCCCTGCTCCCCCCTCCCTCATGAACCCTTGCTAATTTATAAATTATTATTTTGGCTTTTTTTTTTCTTATCCTGCATTTTATGGGTCTAAATTCTCATCTTTAGAATTAGAATGATAAATGAATAAATTAGTTTAATAGCTGAAAATATAGTGGAATACCTACCATATCTAAGGAATTAGGGCCGGTGAGGTCTATCCAATGTAATTCTCTGAATCAGTGTCCCAAATAACACAAGAACAGGCTTAGAAACTAAGACACCAAGAGGGTGGGGTGGTGGGGAGGGTTGGACTGTGTTATTCAACATAGCATGGAAGTAGAATGCCATGGGAAGAATGGTTGATGTCAGATTGGACTTTGAACTGGTTCATTCTGGTTCTGCCCCCTACTAAGAATTTTTGTTCCCACCTCATACACTAAATCAGAATCTACAATTTTTTTCTTTGATAAAACCTCCAGGTCCGTCTTAAGTACAAATGGCCTTATTAAACTGTAGCTTCTGATTCAGTATATTTGGGAGCTAATTCTCTACAGCAGGGCCTCAAATTGGACTCAGCCAATTGGAAGCCCTGCTCCGGACCCCATGAACCAGCAGGGATGGGACCCAAGGGTTGTGCTCTCATATGCCCTCCGAGGGATCATGCTGTATACTCAACATTAAAAGCCACCGATGGAGGTAATATTTTTTCCTAGAAGTACACTTTTCCTTCCTTAGCCCCTGGCTTCCAGCATGCCAGCCCGGCACAGATTTGACTCATAGTGCCGCTAAAGGACAAGGTAGAACTGCCCCTTTGGATTTCGGGGACTAACTCATTTTGGGTATAGAAAGTCTTATCTTTCTCCTGCAGAGCTCAAATTGCTGACCCCAACATGTAACCACTACACCATCAGGGTCCCTGGTCTTCAAAGATGAAAAACAAACAAAAACTGTCATCAAGTGAATGCTGATCATATCCTAGTGCTGGCAGTGTAGTTTAAAATAGCTAGACTAATTTTAGCCCCTTGAGATCCATTCAAACTGTAGTTTTAGATTTCAGTGTTTCTGGACTGGAAATGCAGGTTAGGACTTTGGACTCGGGTTCAAGACTAGCTTTCTTGAGTTTGAATAGAAGATCTAGGCAGAAATTGACACAGCACTTGAGCATCAATTCAAAGAACTCTGACCTCAATCCTTTTATAATCTTTACGGTGAGGGTGGGCTAAAAGTCCCAAACCAGTTTGAGTTTACTTTTCAAACTGTTAAGTACAAATAGTAGCATAAGAAACTAAGAGGATCACATTATAACACTATTAAAAGAGTCATAACATATCTCTCACTGACCCATAGCCCTACAAGGGACAGCACTGGTGTGGGAATTGCGCCCAATCTGACCCCACCACACCCAGGCAAAACACTAAGGGTGTGCAACAGAACAGCAAGGGGAACAGAGCAA